TGTGTGTTTGTGTGTGTGTGTGGAGTTTCAGCCACGTGGAAGAAAATTAGGGAAGGCGCTATATGAAAATAAAAAAAAGTGAAACAACTAGAACACTGACAGCCCTACAGATGTGAGCATGTAGAGACACACGCATAGTGCTCTCCGATTTTGTGGTGCACTGGTCACATGCACAGGAAGCACCTTTTGGATTCACAGTCGAATCGGCGGTGATGTGAATGGCTGCTGTCATTCTGTCACATTACCACTTTGATAGACCACCCCCGTAAAGGCGGGGCCTGACCACTCGGGCCTGATGCCTGAACGCCAAGTGACTCGCCCCGCAGCCAAACGCACTGTTGCCATGGAGAGGCAGCTCCCTCTGCGCTCTCAGCACAAGTGGGAGGGTGCAGACTGCGAGTGCATGCAGCCATACAGACAGCAACTGTGGCCCTGGTCCTGAGCTGCACCTCTGCTCTTCCTAATGAGGACTTTAGTGACAATTGGAGCTGTTAAACCCTAACCCCCAAGACACACACACACACACACACACACACACACACATACCCTGGGGCAGGGGGCTCACATGCTCTAGGGGGACACGTGGTGGTCTTAGGGAGCACAACCCCATATGCAGATATTCGGGGTGGGATTACATAAAAAGACCCCCCACACAGACACCAAGGGAGGGAGGGTGTTACACAAAAAGACCCCTCCACACACACATAGATGCCCAGGGATGGGGGTGTTACACAAAAAGACTGTCCCATACAGATACCCTGGGACACAGTGTTACACAAAAAGGCACCCCCCCCCAACACACATAGATACCCAGGGAGGGGGGATGATACACAAACACACCCCCACACAGATACCCAGGAAGGGGGTGTTACACAAAAGACCCTGCCCCCCCACACACACAGACCCAGGGAGGGGGGGTGTTACACAACAAGACCCCCCACCCCCACAAATACCCAGATGGGGGGTGTTACATAAAAGACCCCCACCCCACACAGAGATCTGGTGGGGAGTTTTACACAAAAGATCCCCCTACACAGATACCCAGGGGGGAGCCGTGTTACACAAAAAGCCCTCCCCCACACAGATACGCAGGTAGGGGGGTTACACATAAAGACCTCCCCTCCCTTCTCATTTCAAGGAAGATTGCGGGACAGAAGCAGGACCTCCCCCACCTCCACACAGCCGACTGCACTGCCCCCCCCTCTGGCCCAGCTGCTAATGCCGCAGCATAATTAGATACCGTGGGTTCTCATTAGCGCCACCCGCCTGTCCGTGTGAGTCCGTGTGCGTGTCCGTGTGAGTCCGTGCGCGTGTGCGTGTGCGTCCGCGCGTGTGACTTGAGGCCCCCCCGAAGTGCGGTGTGCATGCCGCAGCCGCGATCCTGCTGCCTTTCTACACGCGTGCCTGTTATTTATGATGAAAGATGATGGTGTTCCTGATGAGAGTACCATTCATAAGTAAGTAATGGGCGATGGCAGGTGGAGTGTGAACAGCCTGGGGTCCCTGGAGGGTCCCTGGGGGGTTCCTGAGCCGTGCTCTGCGTGGGACTCTACATTGCCAGGACCTCAGCAGGCAGATCAGGAGCTGGGGATAAAGTGAATGAAATGAAAGAGTGGGGAGGGGGGGTGGCAGTGCGATGGCTCCCTGTCCCCCTCTCAGTCTCTGCCTCTCTCCCGCTCCCCACAGTGCCCACCCCGCCAGCTGCTGGGACAGGGGACAGTAATGATGTGCTGTTACATTCACAAGGTGCTCTCCTCTCCTCAGGGCTGAGTGTACCTGACTGTGTGTGTGCGTGTGTGTGTGTGTGGCTGCCTCAGCTCCCGGGATGTGGAAAGCCAGCCCCCCTCCCCCAGTGAGATGGTGACAGGTTGGAGGGGGGGGGGAGGTGTCAGCAGGGCTCACTGCTCGGTACACAGTGTAGCCAGCAGGAGGCGACACGCTAACCGATGGGGGTTCCGTAACGACTCTGGGAGTGCCAGTCCATCCTGAGGAGGCTAAAAAGGAGCAGGCAGTAACAGAGCCCCCCTCCCCCACAGCACACTACGCCTCCGAGCTGCGGGTGTGTGTGTGGGTGGGGGGGGGGGGGGGGGGGGGGGGGGGGGGGGGGGGGGGGGGGGGGGGGGGGGGGGGGGGGGCAGGGGGCGGCAACCGCCCCTATGCCTGCCAGCTAGCAGGGAGGGGGGCAGGGAGGCAGCTGGGGGATGGTCTCCTAGCAACAGAGCTGCTTGGAGTGGGACAGGCTGAAAGTGCCAGAAGACTCTAAAAAATAATAATAATAACAGTAATAATAATAATAATAATGACCATCATCGCCTGGGAATAGCAGAGGCCTCCATGGTTTAAGACAGAGTGTGAAAGAAGGGGGATGGAAAATGAGGTCTGTATTATCATAATGATGCATAAAATGGAAATATTAATAATAATAGTGATGTCAGAGCAAAGAGGAAAAGCGTGGCTGGACAGGCCTGGACCAGGCTCCGCCCTATCCCTGCTGCCATGGCAACGATGACTGCCTGGTGTTTGGAGGAAGGGAAGGAATAGAGGAGGGAGAGAGAGAGAGAGAGATGGGAGCTAAGTGAGGAAGAGGAGGAAGGCTTCTGAATGTGGGGTGGCCTCCTAATGGGCAGACTGTACCCCCCATCACAGTGTCCTCTGGGTGGCACTGTGTGGGGCTCTCTGCCTTTAATCAGCACTGCCAACTTTGTCCACTATGGCCTGGGTGGCATGGCTGTGCCCGTTCATCCGACCTTCCCTGGCAGAACATGGCTGTGCCCGTTTATCAGCCATGCCTTGGTGGCCCTACAAAGCAGAAAAGGCTGCAGGCCAGGGCCCCTTTATGCCCCCTCCCCCCAAGCCTGTTGCACAGATCCGACTTTCAGCTCCAAGTCATGCGACACACTGTCCCACACACCTGCCCGTGAGGAACAGCGGCAGTTTCTATAGCAACAGGGTCAGCCTGATGGAGAATGGGGGCTGTTTTATATATATATATATATATATATATATATATATATATGTTCTCTCTACACACACAGCCTGTCTGTGTGTATGCATGCATACATACAATAGTCATCAGAATTATAGAATGAGTGACATTGTTGTAATTTATAAAATTAAAAGTTATAATAAAAGTTATTTTAACAGAAATAGAACAGAATGGTAGGGAGAGTGTCTGTGGATCAGTTCAATACCGCAACTGTTCTATACAGGACAAGTATTTGTCTTGACAAGGTCTCATCCTCTGGGACAATGTGGGACTGACATTGTAGTGACAAAGCCGCTCATCAGCAAGAAGAATAAACCGGCTTGACTTGAGGAGCATGTCGTGGGGACGGGAGAATTGGTCCAAAGCTTAATTTAGTTGTTTCAAATGGGAAACGTTATGTGTGGCATTGAATTGGGGAAAGATGTGTGAAGAAGTCAGTAGAGTTCAGATGGGTAAGTGTTATGGTGTAGGGTATGTTCTCTGCAGCAGGACTCCGCCCTCTCACACGGTTACACAGTATGGTGAATACTAGTGTGTCTTAGAACCTCCTCCAGCAACATGCGGTTCCTTCCCTAAGAGCATCACAAAATCAGCCAGTCATTTTTATCCAAGACAATGCTCCTTACTACACTGCCAAATGGGTGAAGCCATTCCTCAAAGCTGAGAACATCAAGGTGATGAAATGGCCAGAGTCCTGATCTGAACCCTATCAAGAAGCTATGGAAGGTAACTGGTGACAAAATTATGGCAAACAAACCCACTACAGTGACTGAAATGTGAAAGATAACTGAAAGATGAGGGGAACAAAAGTCACAGCAGTATGAGAGATTGGTTATGTCCTATGGCCACTGATATGCCAAAGTCAATGAAGGCAATTTACATGTTACAATGTTTGAATATGAACAGGAATATATATATATTCCCTGTGCTGCCCCCCCCCAGCCAATAATAGAGCTGCCAAACTCAGCGTCTTTCCCCACCCTTCCCATCCTTGCATTTCCCACCCCTTCACAGAGGTGTGTCCTGCCCTTACAGGTGTGGTAACTCTCCTACTGCTGCAATGAAGCACCTTAGATTTATATGTATAATTTTTAACAGCCAAGGACCAGATATTATTTCATTCAATTCAGTTTGATTTGTATAACACATTTTCACAACATTAATTTGTCTCAAAGCACTTTACATTATCCCTGCCCAAAACCTCCAGCGAGCCAGAAGCAACAGTGCCAAGAAAAAATTCCTAGAAGGATAAAACCTTGGGAGGAACTGGACTCAAAAACAGTTTTAGTGCTGTACAACGGTGTGTGACCTTTCGTCTGTGAAAAGTGCTTTATAAATAAATTTTACTTACTGCCTCTGACGGTACAGCAGCAGGGCAGGCCGGAGAGGAGACGCAGGCAGAGCGGCTCCCTGCTAACAAAAAAATCCACTGATTATGATTGAGTTCTGTGGCCACAAAGCGGGAAACTCAAAGTCCCTTTGACCGCGACGCCTGGTCGGCAATGAAGGAAGCTGCACAGGTTATGGTGTCTGTTCAGGCTCCTGCGGGTTTGCCTGTGTGGTCGACATTACTGATGACAGTGACCAGGAATGCAGGTTAAAGTAAATGCCATGAGATTTCAGGTGAAAGATGACAAAAATGGATCAGTTCACGTTTTATGCCCATCAGCAATCAGTCTGTGTTTTGGATATTTCACATGTGATTTAAAACAAAAGCAGGCATTTTATTCATTTGAAAGATTCTATTACATTTTTTTGTATGCGCATAAACAGACTCACCCAGCACAAATAAAAAGACTTTTTCCAACACAGTGTTCTCGACCATACAAACACTTACACCAGTCAAACATCAACATAGACATACTCAGACACACTGTGACAGGCAACAGCCATAGTACTATTAATGTGTACACACGCCCACTCCATCCTCTAAATAGCCCTGTGACTTAAACAGCATATAGGCCTAAGGCTTGCGTCACCAGTCACTAAAGTAACTTTCTATCCTGCCCTGCAGTGTGCTGATGGCGGCTCCAGCACGGACAGCTCATCCCTGAAGCGCGTGGCTGTGGTAGAGGACTTCTTTGACATCATCTATGCGATGCACGTGGAGATGGGCCCGGATGCAGGCCGCACACCCAAGCATGCAGGCCAAAAGAAGACGTACAAGGCGGTAAGAGGCCGGGGAGGTCTATCTGCCTGTACCCCCACATCCATTAAAAACTGTATATCAGTGTGTACCCCCACATCCATTAAAAACTGTATATCAGTGTGTACCCCCACATACTCTAAACACTGTATATCAGTGTGTACCCCCACATACTCTAAACACTGTATATCAGTGTGTACCCCCACATACTCTAAACACTGTATATCAGTGTGTAGCCCTACCTCCTTTAAACAATATATATCAATGTGTACCCCACCTCCTCTAAACACTGTGTGTCAGTGTGTACCCCACCTCCTCTAAACACTGTGTGTCAGTGTGTACCCCACCTCCTCTAAACACTGTGTGTCAGTGTGTACCCCACCTCCTCTAA